GCGAGGTGGTGCGTGGGCTCTGCTCGGTGTGTGTGTGTGTGTGTGTGTGTGTGTGTGTGTGTGTGTGTGTGTGTGTGTGTCTACGGACGCACACAGCTACTGCAGGCACGGCCGGACATGCACAGTTGCCTCCACAGCAGCCGCTTAGCTGATAGAGGCACCTATGCAGGGGGAGAGCGATGCGGGGACCCACTAGAGAACGAGGGATTGAAAGAATTTAGAAAAACAATCTTTATCCCACACATTGTTCTCCATGCGTACCAATAAAAAAAAGTAAAGGTTTAATGTTGGTGAACAGAAGTAATCAAGCAGATGTGCTGAGGTCAAGTGAATCAGTTTTAAAGTAGTTTCTCATTCTCAAACAACTTTAAGTGAGGGTCATGGCAAATTTTATAATAAATGTTGAAACACCAATACATGCAGTTAATATCAGTCTGTGAAGCACAAGGATTTTTGAATTTGAAGAGCAGAATATGCCAGACTCGTTGTTAATGCATTTCTATGAGCGAGTTGTTTGTATTGGTTGCAGAAATGCAGCTAAACAATTTAACCAGTTGCCGTCCGCCTGTAGAAAAAAAACGGACGGGTGGTAGACTCGCATAAGCTTGTTGTAGTCTCCAGACGGCATTTTTTTTCCTGCGCACGGGCGGGAAAGACCCGCTCGTTTTTACAGCCGTTAACGGCTGTTTCACATACAACCGATCAGCGGCTCTATAGCCGCCGATCGATTGTATGGCGTGATTTTGTAGCTCGCGCTATATCGAGCTTAGGGTGACGGGAGGATGCTAGCTTGTGTCCTCCCCTTACCCTAAGGAGAACTATGGGGATAAGCCATAACCCCATAGTTCTCCTTTAATGCTGTCGCAGTGCAAACTACAGTATTTACTGGTTCCGTTTTAAAGATAATATGGTAAGTCTTAAAACTGCTCCCCATCTGTGCCCCCTCAACATCTCTGCAATCAGTCAGGAAGGTCTTCTGCAGTGAACCCTAGATAGCAGAGAACCCTTAAATACAAAGGGAACTGCCAATGCACACCTATGCACCCTCCTAGTTCTAAGATCTGACTGCCCCGGTATTGGGCTGGCAACAGAGACCCAGCTTGGTTCCCTAATAAGGGATGACATTAGCTTTGTTTACAAACAAGCCTACAACTGTGCATTAGTATAAAAATGTAAAATAATAAAAAAATATAATTTGACAGATTATTTTTTTAGAAAAAAAAAAAAACCCCAAGAGAGCGAAATATATGTAGGTATAAAAATGAATAGCCTTGGCCATGTATACTGACACTGCTAAATTTTTGCCAGGGCAATCTAGGTTTCACTGACCTGTGGTCCTAATAAAGACATTTCTAAAATGCAGCCTAAAAATAAAGCAGCTTTCTTGCTTAAGAAGTAAAATCTGCACAATAATTCTATTAAGTGATGTACACTACCATACACAGAAAAATAAATTACCTCTTTCAATTGCTTTATTGAAAATGCATGCCATGTATAACCCCAACGTTTGCACAGTGACTTGACATGAGGTGATTAGACTTATTCCCTTTAACCTATTTCTCCTTTTCACAATTTCTTTTGTTCCTTAACCCCTTCGTGACTGACGACGTACAGTTTACGTCGCCAGCATCGGGGCTGTTTAAACAGACTCCCGGTGACTTTTGCCGCCGGGACTCTGTTTAAACTTGTAGAGCCGGCTGTCGGCTTTACAACAGAAGCGATCCTGGCGACTTACCTGCGTCCCGAAGATCAAAAAGGTGTTGGTTTTGCTCTTTTGTGTCCCTGGAATACATTAGTAAAGCAGCAGATAGCGGACCAATGCCTGATGCCCGCTGACAGCGCAGAGCTTGGCCTCAGCCGAGAAGGATCTCAACAATATTGTTGGCATCCATCCCTGCTGCTTGACAGTTGGTGCTGCCTGCCTAGAGCCAGCCATGCATAGTTCTCCCATTTGCCCCTCCAGTGAGTGGTGGAGAAGCAGAGAGGAAAGAATTCCTGCGGGAAGCAGTGACTGGCTGTCGCCACACTCCGGGAAACGGACACCAAGAGATGAGCAATCAGGAGTTACATGGTCACTCGCCTCTTGGTCTTACAGTTTGGCATGTGACAGCAGCAGTGTCCCACTTTGGCTCTGAGCAGCTGGGAGAGAACATTTTACTCTCCTCGCACTTCTCCTTTAAACTCTCTCCCACCTTTCTAAAATGTTCTGCCGAAATAAAATGATTTAAAAAAAAAATCATTTTTCTTTTTTTTTTCTTTTTGATCTGTGCAAAAATGGTATTTCCCTCGTAACAGGCTTGCAAAGTATAATGATGTTTTCTTTGTTTGTAGAGTATGAACCGATCTTTGCTTTGCTACAAGAAGTACAAGGTAGTCTGCAAACACGGCTTTTCTTCTTGCAGAGTGTTATCAAAGAGGCAGCAAGGTAGGTTGTGCAGTTTTTTCTGAATTTAACCAGTTGACATCCGCGGTGTTAAACCCCCTTCCCATCCAGGCCATTTTTCAGTATTCAGCGCTGCGGTACTTTAACTGACATTTCGGCATTTGTTTATTGCCAAGTTTCAGTCATTACATCATTATCTATAATAGGCAGTATTGTCCAGGGTTGTTCATGGGTATTACTCGTGGACCCAGTTACACACTCAAGACAAGGAATCCCATTCATTTCTATGGCTCCTGTTCACAGCTGAGCGTTTTGTTGCAGGCAGAAAGACACCTGTCTCTGGAAAAAGTACATGAGCTACTTTTTGGCAGTTTAGACGAGCTTGGCTTTGAGTGACAAAACACCAAGATGTGAACAGGGGCTAAAAGTCCACACCTCATATGTTTCCATCTAATATGTGTGATGAGGTTGTAGCTATAAAGTTGTCTAATTAAAGAAGGACTCCAATTCTTTTTTTGTGGGGGGTTCTTCAAATTAACCCCTGCAGTGTTGATCTACCCCCAAACTGCAAGGGTTAAGTTCTCATTTTGGTCTAGGGCTGAAAATAAAGAAGATATACTCACCTGTTCCTCAGTCCTGCGTCATTGACTGTTCACCTCTTCTGCTCCAGCTTTGATATGTCCCTCGACGTCCTCGCGTCTAATTGTCCTGCATTAGATGTGATGATGTCACGCATCCTTAGAGTGCCGGGGGGGGATGGCGCTGCAGGGACCGTCGAGCAGCCTGCCAGGCAGGACCGAGGATCTGGTAACTATATATTTTTGTCCATAGACCAAAACGAGTACTCGTTCAGTGCAGGTACCCCTGCACTTCAAGGGTTAATTTGAAAGATATCCTGGAAGTCCTCTTCCTCCTGCAAAAAAGCAGTATGGCAATATAAATTAAAGTCCCATTGTAATGTCTCCGTCAGTCTTGGTGAAATGTATGAAGGCAGAGGGTGATTGGACACACGAGTATCTAGCCGATGTCCATTAGTTTGGTTAGAATAGTCAGCCATCTTTGAACCTGGTAGGTTTTACCTGTGAATGGCATATTTGGTTTTCTAGTCCTGACACTATGCCACAGACTACTCTCAATTGCAAACTCCCAGCTCTTCCTGCCGGTGCCAAATCTTGCCCACCCCATCATAGTGATTAGCACATACTGTGTGGAAGTCACAGTGAGACCTAGGGCTGCAACAGCAAATCGATTTTAAATCGATTGAGAATAGTTGGCAACTATTCTCATCGGTTAGTTGATTCAGAGAGATTTATATATTTTTTTTTAAATTAAACCAATCGATTAGTTGAAAAAATAATTGGGCAACTAATCAGTTATGAAAATCGTTAGCTGCAGCCCTAGTCAGACCACATCCATGCTTAATAACGACGTGGCCATTCCAGCATGTCTGTGGGTCCCTTAAATTAGAACTCCAATTGGTTGACTTGTAGACTTGAGTTGTGAGAAGGAGCAGAAAACCAAAACCTTATTACAGGGGCAGAGGCTGCAAATGAAAGGAGCTAATATGGCTGCCCCCATATAGGTGATTCATGTTTTTAGACTCATTTTATGGGTACTTGGTAAAGCAGATTGATGAGTAAACTGATCTTTTACATGAATAACACAAAATAAGACTAGATATTTCCTTTACGTAACCTTCAATTAGCTAGGAAACTACCGTAGTACTAGGAGACATTCTCTATGCTGATGACACTCAAATATATCTCTTCACTCCACAATTCACCTCCTCAGTCTCCTCGCGTATCATGATGTCACAACACTTCTTAAAGCTCAATCTTCATGTCAAGGTCCTAGGTGTCATACTTGACTCTGACCTCCCCTTTCTTCCCCACATCCAATCACTATCCAAATCCTGCCGCCTTCACCTTCGTAACATCTCCAAAATACGCCCCTTCCTCACCAATGAAACCACAAAGCTGCTCATCCACTCCCTTATGTCTTGTCTTGACTATTGCAACTCCCTCCTCATTGGCTTACCTCTACACAGGCTCCTCCCCCCCTTCAGTCTATCATGAATGCAGCTGTTAGACTCATTCACCTAACCAACCGCTCAGTGTCTGCAACCCCCCTCTGCCAATCCCTGCACTGGCTTCCACTCGCCCAAAGGATAAAATTCAAAATATTAACCACTTACAAAGCCGTCCAGGTTGGAGATATATCCGGGGGCAAAGGATCACCCTAACCGTCCCCTCCGCTCCTCCCAAGTCTTCCTGCTTTCCCTCGTCAACTCCTCCCATGCTCGCCTCCAGGACTTCTCTAGAGTCTCTCCCATTCTTTGGAACTTCTTACCCCAACCTGTCCGTCTTTCTCCCACTTTGACTGCCTTTCGGCGATCGCTAAAGACTCATCTCTTTAGTGAAGCCTATCCCACCTGAACCTAACCACTGAACTCCTTCTCATACAATTCATCCCCACACAGCTACCTCCTCATATATCGCTTCTCCCTCCCTGTTAGATTGTAAGCCCTCAGGGGCAGGGCCCTCCTTACCATCTTGTCTTGAATTGTATTGTGATTGTAATGTCTTCCTTGCATTGTAAAGCGCTGCGCAAACTGTTGGCGCTATATAAATCCTGTATAATTCTGGAAAATGTAATTTTATATATATTTTTTGATTCTCTTCTGTAGATTTAAAAAACGAATGTTGATCGAGCAGTTGGAAAATTTTCTAGAAGAGGTCCACAGAAGATCGAACCAGATGAACCACTTCAGCAGCTGTTAAATGGTCTCAAGGAAACCCTTGTATGCTGGTGGGCACAAGGTGTGCCCAGGAAGGGTGATGGTTGCCACAATCATCTATACCATCTTTACAATGACTAGTTGTACCCTTAATATGCTTCCATTTTTTTCTTCTATGGAAATAATGATGCCTTCATTATGGAGTATCGGAAAGTTTTTAGAAGTTCCTAGCGGTCACTGACCAGCTATGCTGATCTTTCTCAGGTTCCACAGCTGACACTTAGACTCACATTTAAGTTCACTCACTGGCTAGGATTAATGTCTTTTGCCAAAATCTGATCGGGCTTCTCTCACGGTTCCACAACTGGTTTTGGCATCGGAAGTGTGAACTCTCTGCATTCGACATGTACGCTGGACAACAGACCTTTTAAATGCAGTCCCAGGTTTGTAATTAAAACATAGCTAGGCAGAAGCACAGATGTTGAAACAAGGTAATATTTTGTACATAATTATTTTGAATATATTGTAAGTTGTACAGTTGTATTTTGAAAACTATTTAAAGAGGCTCTTTTGTTATTCCATCAATAAAAAAAGCTCTATTTTAATATTTTTGCAAACTCTATATTATGAATCTGTATTTTTGTATTTCCTGGCTGAGAACTGCATATTATTCAGTGTCATTTTGTTACTTGACATGTAAATTAAGCCTATTATCTGTTCACTGATGAGTTGACCTTTCCTGCATCAGGACATAGATCAGAGCTTTTAATTAAAGGGGAGACACCATGTTAGAAATACTTATTGAAGTTCTGGCCTTTTTCTTACCATGCATGCAAGTTGCCCTGCTTGGTATGGGGATCCCTGACTCTGATCAAGTATGCGGCCGGTGACGTCTTAAAGGAAAACCTAAGGCCCCTTTCACACAAGCGACACCAGTTCAGTCAAGGTTCACGGATACAAAAAACTGATGAAAACTGAATCAGTTTGCACTTCAGTTGTCAAGTTCAGTTTACATCCGTTTCGGACTTTGTTGTTATGGTAAATTCCCATGATTGTTTGCCATGCTGTATTATAATATCAGTCCCAAAAAACGGGTGTCACCTGAACCGATGTAAACGAAACATCGGGTTACATCAGTCCCCGTCAATCAAAATGGAGAGCGGATCCGTGTCAAATTGCGGACCTAAACTGACACTGATGTAAACTGATGGTCATCCATTTTCATCCACACTGCCATAGAGATGCATTGTCCATTTTTCATCTGCAAACGGAGGGATCAACCTGAGTGCTCGTGTGAAAGGGGCCTTACTTGGAGGAGAGACTGCTGTGGGGGCTACGGTTCTGGAAATGGCCATTGAATTTCTAATGCTGTTGCAGAAATATTGTTTGAAGATAGCCAGTCATTATACTTTTCTTAGGGTTCTATGTGGCACTTTCTATTTTATGCTGGTTTGGCCAAAGCTGACTTAGAGAGAGGGCATGCGCAGTCTTTATTTCAGCAGGCTTAGATTCTAGGCTATACAGAGGACACATAACAGCAGTTCAGCACCTGGAGGCCCCACTAGTTAAATCAATCTAGTTGTGATGGATAGATGTGTCCTCATGCTATTCCAACCTCAATAATCTCAGACCAATCTCCTTACTCCCATTCACCTCCAAACTTAGCCCTGTCTTGAATTGTATTGTGATTGTAATGTCTGCCCCATATTGTAAAGCGCTGCGCAAATTGTTGGCGCTATATAAATCCTCTATAATAATATTCAGCAGATCTAGTGTGCCCCATGTTTGGGTCTACTTCTGCTTTAACCCTTTTGCTGCCGATGTGTTATTTTGCACACGTTGCAATCCACATTTTAGGCCTGAAAGTTACTTAAAACCCCTGAGAGTTATAGATTTCCTGAAAGCAGTGCCCTTGTAGAATAAAATGGTGGTGGTTACGAAATTTTACATCAAACACAAAAGGTCATTAGAAATTACACTAAGTTAATTTTAGTGCACAAAAACACAACAATAATGCCCATTTTATTTTTGTAAAATATAAGGTTAGCTGAGTAAATAGATGCCCAACATCCCAAGCTTAAAAATTGCCTGCACCCATGAAACGGCGACAAAGTACAGTACCCAACATTCTCCATAGGCAGCAACGCTTTAAAAGCCTGTGAAGGTCATCAGTTTAGTTAACCGTTAATATTGGCCCTAGAATTATTGGATCCACTCTGGTGCACACAGTGATACCTAACGTGTAACGCAATCGTAGTTTTCATACATTGGGGCACCTGACAAGTTTAGTATGTGTGTGGGGGACTTCTTTAATGTATTTGTACATTTATTTTTATTGCACTTCATTGCTATCACATAGGGTGGCTCACAAGCACATTGGAGGTGACATAAGCTCTCCCCTCTACCTGCTGACACCCATGATGCTGGTCGAGGGGCAATGGAGCCCGGAAGCAAGGTGGGAGGGAGGTGCAGTCTTCAGTGGCCACTGGAAGCAATCTGGCAGTAGGTCAGCAACCAGAATTGCTCCCGGTGTAAAGCCGACTGTCAGCTTTATGCAGCTAAACAGTTTCAGCATATCTGTTTAAAGGGGCCTGCTGGCAGTGAAAGGGTTACTACGGTGAGTGACTACTAACGGCAATGGTAGCAAACCTCTGGCCCTCCAGCTGTGGTGTAACTACAAATCCCATGAGGCATTGCAAGATTCTCACAGCCAAAGACATGACTCCCAAAGAGATGCATCATGGGATTTGTAGTTTCACCACAGCTGGAGGGCCGGAGGTTTGCTACCCCTGACTAAGAGTAACTACAGTGTGATACTTGCAGTTCTTCAGATACCTGCTAAGGCAATTTCTCCTTCTAGCGTGCTATGATGGGGTGAAGATGGGGTACACATTCAGTATAGTCTGGTTTGCTCTATTGACAGCCTGAGCCATTGTGGTTTGTGTGTGCTTCTGTTGGTTGGACACTTAAAGGTTTTAAAAATAAAATGGCGTAGCTATTGTTCCAGCAAAACTGCATGTACATTCATTCTGTGCACATTAATCGGATGCTGTTAGAATGAGGCAAAAATCAAATGTTGAAATATGGGCAGTAGAGAAATTGGGCAAATCACTGGACTGGGGTCTCATGGACTACTTGTCTTTTCTGATATTATACTGTCCTATATTGTGACATGTCAGGAATGTACTCATGACAGCTGGTACAAATCACTACTAGTGTAATGTCACAGATAGCAGGAGATGTGATACAGGTCTACCTACCCCAATGTCTGACAGATAACATGGTCATTATAGTGAGTGTGATCGGCATGAGCTCAGGCAGTTGGCAAAGTTACAACTGTAAAAATTGTGGTAACTGCCGATCTTTAACGGGCAGGGCCTAGAGTCAGCACTACACAGGGTAAGTCACTCTACATGGGGGTATATGGAAATGCATTTATTTTCTGTGTGCATTAGTATCTGGCACACATGTGCTTATGGAGGAGAGAGGAATAGCTGAGCTCTGGCTTATCTCGGAGGACAATAAAATCTCGTCCTTAATATTTGGTCCACCAAGGGATCCTGAGTTAGCTTTGATGGAATGTTGAGATCAGGCAGGGCCTATAGACATGAGTCCGCTCCTTTGATTGTAAACACCTATTAGGGCAGATTCACATCTATGCATGCGGTTTAAACCCTCAGGTAGAATTGCTTGCACTGTGTATGTGTACTGGAGTGCAATTCACAATGAACGTACATGCATGTGGAAGGGGCCAAAATGGATTCTAGCTGCCACATACAAGTGACATACTCTATAAGCCAGGAGTGGGCAAACTCCAGCCCTCTAGCTTTCATGGACCTACAGATCCCGTGAGGCATTGCAAGATTCTCACAGCGACAGACATGACTGCCAGAGACGGATGCATCATGGAATTTGTAGCTTCACCACAGATGGAGGGCTGGAGTTTGCCCACCCCTGCTTTAACCTTTTCCATCCAGCAGGAGCCGCCCCTTAGTTTATAACACTGAAGGTGTCACATGGGCTTTCCAGTCCTGTAACCACTGTGATTGGCTGTCACGGTGATCAGGAGCCTGCCCCACCGGCTACTGATTGTAAACAGTGACTGGTTACTGTCTGTGAGATTGTGGTCAATCACATCGACAATAGGAGCTTAGTCAGGAAGGTATGACCATCCTGACTAAGCTCCTATTGGGAGAAATGCACCGTAGGAGTAGGAGAGGGTCTGGTGGTGAGCTATGCGCCGGTCTGATTTTGAGTGTTTCCACTACTTGCAATAAAGCTTGTTGCATATCAAGAAAAAAAACAGCAAAATGCAGCCTATTCGTATCTAATATACTGCAGGGAGGAACAGATCCCAGTAGGTATGTACTCCTGACCGATGCATGAGCTATGAGACCACCAGGAGTGGTAAGATCTTTATGTATGTGTATTAAGGTACCCACACGCCTTGCGATAATCGTGGGAAATTCTGCGATCGTACGATTATCGCAAGGTGTGTGGAAGGCTTGCGACCGTTTCTACTGTACAGTCGCACGACTTTTATCTTAGGAACATGTTCGAAAACCCGCCGAGAATCGTTTGATTGTCGGCGGGGGTGTGGCATGTTCGTAAGCTAAATGCCGCACGGGCCGGTGTGCGCAAGCGCACACTGCCGGTTCAGCATTGCATCGCAAGCCTGCATCAGAGGGGCGGGCTTGCGATGATCGCAAATACGATCTGCCTGTCCAAGATAGGCAGATCATAAGGTTTTTTTTTAATTACCTTACAACAGGGGTAGCCAAACTCCTGCCCTCCAGCTGTGGTGAAACTACAAATCCCATGATGCATCTCTCTCTGGGAGTCATGGCTGTGAGAATCTTGCAATGTCTCATGGGATTTGTAGTTCCACCACAGCTGGAGGGCCGGAGTTTGGCTACCCCTGCCTTACAAGCATCGCAAGACAAAAGTCTTGCGATGGTTGTAAGGTCTGTGCCCAGCCTTAGACTCTAGGCAGCTATAAGAGACAAATGAATGCAACGCTGTAATAATAAATACAAGTGGGGAATTTATCAAATCTGGAGCAGTTGCACCTGGCAACCGATCAGCTTCTAGCTTTCATTTTCAAGGCTTTAATAAACAAACTTAAGAGAGAAGCTGATTGGTTGACATGGGCAACTGCTCAGGATTCTGTCTGCTCCAGTATTGATACATTCCCCTCAATGTATTTTTTATTTTTATGCATTTTGACCTGGTATCAGCCACCTGCAATCCTTGTGCAGCAGAGTGGAAGTGTGAAAAGAAGAAGCAGTAAAAGTAGCCAATTAGTGCATGTGCTGACAAGGAGGATACTAAGAGAGAGAGCAGAGTGACAGATAGATGAGATCATCATTGTGCTGCTTCTCCTTTCACTTCTTTTTCCGGTCACAAACTGGGTGGGTCAAAGACGCTCAGAGGAAGTGGGATAAATGATGCTGGTCAATGAGGACACCCAGTGGCAGAAAAAAAAAAGGACTGCCGGGGGAAATCTCTGGATTGAAGGGGAATATTGCAACAAAAGCTGATTTCTTGTTTTAATGGACTATTCTGGTTATTTTGGCTGGAATTCCGCTTTAATCATTTGGACTCCAGATCTCCAAACATAACTAAGACAACCAAATGGTGAAAAGCCATTTCTTGCATGATTCACTTACAAAAAAGGCAGCCAGGTATATATAAAAAGTAAACAAATAATATGTGCAAAAACCAAATATTATAGTGAACAATACTACTGTGAGAGAAAAAAAACCATATATGTAATATTTTCAAATATTTTGAAATAGTCAACTGTTTGTGTGAATCACAAGGTGATAATCTAAAAAAACTCCAAATGACTAATAAAGTAGCAAACGTCCTGTGTCAGTGTATAAAACACATCATTTGAAACAAAGTGTTCATAAATTCATTAAAAGCAGGTCAGTAACGTCAGGACGCCTGGAGGAAAAGAGGAGGACAGATCTAACATCCAGGAATGAGATTCTGATACGCGATTTTATGTCAGTGTATTTTTAAATAAAATCATTTCATGCATACGGGGTGCGTTATGATTTCCACTTCTGTCTTTGAGAGATCTTTTTTGGGCTGTCGGTAGAGGAGAAAACCATTGAGATCAGGATTGGTCTCATCTGAAAGAAGGAAGATGACAGCTACAAACAGTGTGAGGAAGGAGTTTTACCCTATAAGAAGCACTGAGACCCAAGGGTCTGAACACGAAGGTGGGAGGCCTATTTATCAGAGCACTGTTTTTTTATGAGCACTTCAGCAAAAAATACACAAGAAGTTACAAGAGTGGGCAGAGTGACGCACAAAGAAAAACAAGACAACACTTTTTTTTTGTTTTTTTTTTGAGAGAGAGCTGCCTGCTTTTAATGAATTTATGAACACTTTGTTTCAAATGATGTGTTTTATACACGGACACAGGACGTTTGCTACTTTATTAGTCATTTGGAGTTTTTTTAGATTATCACCTTGTGATTCACACAAACAGTTGACTAGAAGATTTCATTTTGAAAATATTTGAAAAATATTATGTTTTTTTTCTCTCACAGTAGTATTGTTCACTATAATATTTGGTTTTTGCACATATTATTTGTTTACGTGTTGGGTGATAGTGCCGCTTCACATATTTGAATGATACTAAGGCTGGGCACACACCTTGCGATGGTTGTAAGGTACTTAAAAAAACGTACGATCTGCCTATGTTGCATAGGCAGATCGTACTTGTGATGATCGCAAGCCACGCCCCCTGAGGGGAGGGCTTCCGATGACCGCAATGCCGAACGGGCAGTGTGCGCTTGCGCACACCGGCCCGTACGGCTGTTATCGTACGGACATGCCACAAACCCGCCGAACATCGTACGATGCTCGGCGGGTTTTCGAACATGTCCGTAAGTTTAAAGTCGTGCGACCTTACAGTAGTAGAGGTCGCACGGCTTCCACACACCTTACGATAATCGTACGATCGCGGGATTTCCCGCGATTATCGTACGATTATCGTAAGGTGTGTGGGGACCTTAATGCAGGCTCATGCAGCCAATTTAAGTGAGCAGCTGTAAGGAGTAACGCCCAGTTTTTCTTTGATTAATCGAGCGCAGAAGCCCCTGTAGATAATATATATATAAAAAGTATCAGAGCTTTATTAACACACAAGTATCTATAAAGCATCTCATCCGTTAATAAATACAACAGTACTGTGATTTGTCTTCACAACGCATGCTTAGAATGTATGTTCAATGGAAGGGGTTGGTGACCCTCCCGATGAATAGCACCGAGCCTGAAATGACAACATAAGAGGTCACAAGGTGAGGGACAGGGATGATATCTAAAACAATACACATGGCAAAGACAATAGAACTGAATTTAAATGAAATAATTATGCCCACCCAGGTGATGGCTGTGTCACGTGTAGTAGGAACAGCAATTCTGATGTTCATGAGATGAATGGAAAATATTGGGTCATGTGCCTGGGAGAGATACACAGCCCCTCATCCCATGTCAGCCTCTCTGTATCTGTTCAGGACTTGTTATTACTAAACACCCGCTGCTCCTAAAAAGAATGTACTTGCCACTTAACCATAATCTATCATTTCCATAATGTGTCTGTGGGTATTGTTAACTTTTAAAATGTATCTAAAGACATTTTTTTCAAACATGTTTAATTTGTGTCCCATTGGACGTGTCCTGTAGACACAACAGGAATTCATTTCTCATGTGTCTATTGGGAGATTTCCCTTCTATTCATGTTCTGGTGACATCACAAAATTGTGGCTTTTCCCTTACCTTTAGTCCCTATCCATGGTCACCAGAATAAACAGAGAGGGTGAATCTGTCTAATGGGGCCCAAACAGCATTAAACACCTGACAGAGGTTATAATCTTTCCCACTCTATTCAGAATGAAAAACAATGTTTTGTGCACTTTAAAGTGCAAAGGAAGTCAACATTTTTGTGTCCTCCTTAGGGAGATTCACCCTCTCTATTTGGTGACCATTATCACTGAAAGAAAATCCCACAATTTGTGTTGTCATCAGAACAGGAATAGAGCAGAAATCTTCCAATTGGGGGCACTAGTTCTGGTGACCCTGCTCAGGGCCGCCTCCTAGGGGAGGGGGGGGGAGGAGGGTGTGGTTGCTGGTGGTTGATGCTGGTTGATGCTCACTGTCGGTGGATATTGGTTTCCTGGGTGGGGGGATGTAAGATGATGCTGGTGGTGGCTGTTCACTTCCTGAAAGGGGGGGATTACGGGCGTGCTGGTGCTACTGGTGGATCTGGCTCTGTCCAGTGTCTTGCCCAGCTCACTGACATTACTGGTTGCCAGGAGCTGGCAGGCTGCCAGCCAGAGCGTCACTGGTTGGTAAGAGCTCTGCCACCCCCCTCACGTGACCCAATGAGATGCTGCCTCATGCTGCCATATTATGGGGACAGCCCTGACCTTGCTGACCAACAGGGATTTCACTCACTTTGGAAGGAATTTTTCTCACTTCCTGTTGTGACTGTCAGACAGGAAGAGAAAGAAAAGTTGACGGGATATTTTTACTTACTTAGTTTTACTGAAACCAAAACTGGAAAAAGTTTTGGATTCAGTTCTACTTTAAGCCCTTCAATTCTTTTTTTTTTTTCTTAATGCAGCTCATCATCTTTTGTTATATTTGATTTTGTCTGTGAATTACATAATAATGTATATTCGTTAGTGCAGATACGCCCTAACACTGAACAAAAATCTGTAACTGTGAAATTTGACTATTTAGATTGCATGCGGCCATTTTGAAATTGGACTTTACTGTAGATTATCTTTAATATATCTAGAAGATTTGGTCTATTAGCTAGAGTTTATATATTTGTCCTGTGTTTGGATACATACACACTATGTGGCAGCATTTCTCAACCTTTTTTCAGTCACGGCACCCTTTAAAAGTAAGCAAAATCTCAAGGCACCTCAGTTACAAATATACAAAAAGTAGATAGGGGTCTGGTATGGATTTTAAGGGGGAACCCAATGCAAAAAAAAAGGTGGTTCCTTTTTTTTTTTACAAAAGAGTCCACCTTTCACATCACAAGTCCCCCTTCACATCAGGAGCCCTCTTCACAACTGGGCCCCATGTTTACATCAGAAGCCCCTCTTCACTTTAGGATCCCCCCCCCCTGGTTCACATCAGAAGCCCCCCTTCACATTAAGAGCCCCCTTTCATATCAGAAGCCCCTCTTCGTTTCAGGATTCCCCCCTTTATATCAGGAGCCCCCTACTACCTTTTTACATCAGAATTTTCCCTTCACATCAGAAACCCGCCTGCTCAATGGAAGGGTATGACTGTAAAAATTCAAGGCACCCCTGAGGAAGCCAGAAGGCACCCTGGCTGAGAAAGGCTGCTATGGGGCATATTTTATAAAGCATTGAATGTGACTTTCACCAAACATTCTCTATTTATGAATCAATCACTGTTATTTAAAACGGAAAATTGTATCATAATTACCGGTAATTTTCCTTTCCTGGTGCCTAACCATGACAGCATACCGATGGTATGCTGCCATGGAGGCACCAGGAAAACACATTCACCTGCAGAGAATGTTGGCTGAATATCAGATTCAACGCTTTATAAATATGCCCCTACGTGTGTAGCAGGAACCTTGTAAGCTTTATGGATGGCCAGGGCTTGTATGTCAGCGTGGTAATAAAGTGTAACTATGGGTGAGATCAGTTACCTATATGAGTCAGTCTGTGACAAGTATCAGCACAGCAGTTTTTGCTTTCTCTGAAATATAGTAATTTCAGAGAGGGATATAGTTTTATCACCTATGGATCCAGCTAGTAGATACCTTATGTCTCCACTTTACCAGGGTAAGATGTTGTTGCTTAAAAAGTGTTAGCTGGAGTTGGGCTTTAGTTTCTTTGTGGTCTACTGAAATCATATGAACAACTTGTATGTACCAGCAGCAGTGCAAAATAATTTTTGCCAATCCTGCCAACCTCTTGCCAAACAGCGTGGACTGTTACGGGAAGAGAAAAAACAAATGGATCTTCTGGCAGGATCACCAGATAATAATACTGCTACAGGGAACTATTGCATATGTGTATTTTTTTTACATTTTGTAAGTAGTTCTACTTTAATAATAATTTAGTTTCTTCCAATTCATGGCAGTACAATAGTAGAAAGGGCAATATTCCTTAAAGTGACACTTAAATCTTAAACATGCATTCAGGTGCCTTAACTATGAACAAAAATTGATCTTATTTGTAGATGTAGCAGTAGATCCCCAAATCATCTCTGAATTGGTGCTGACATTGTCCTTCCTTCTGGAGGGGGGCTACTTATGTTCCCGATGGTCCCTCTGTGTGTTGTTAAGTAGTCACCGCTCCAAGCTCACTCCCGGAATGAACTACAATCTCACGTTTAGTTTACTAATTTGTATTGAGATTGTAGTCCATCACAGGAGCGAGCTTGGAGCGGTGGCTACTTTACATCCCACACAAGGACCATGGGGAACAAAGGTAGCCACCCTCCAGAAGGAAGGACAGTGTCAGCTTGAATTCTTCTGTGTTTTTTTTTGTCACTTTAAATGAAGAAACAAATGACATACATTTAGAAATGTACTGTACCTGAGCTGGCTTGCCTTAGAAAAAAGAAAAATGGTCTGTCTGCTTTAAATACGGGCATGCGGGATCTCTTCAGCAACACCATGGCTGTACAACACACATTTGGAGAAAAAAAAAAAGCATTTAGACATGCAGCTAATATATTAAACCTTTTACAGGAACTATACTCTGAAGTGAACAGAAGAACAGAAAAAGAAAACTATTGACTCTTAAGTCCATGAAAATGTTTTTGTGATATGTTTTCCTTTATTCCTCACTGGGCTTACTTTGATCAGTGCTTTGTGTTAAAGGAGACATGCATTATAGTTTTATTTTTGACTTTTCTCTGCAGTGCAGTTGTATTGTTTTATTCATTACACGTATTTATATAGCGCTGACAATTTCTTTTACATACTGCACATTCACATCAGTCCCTGCACTCAAGGAGCTTACAATCTAAGGTCCCTATCTCACATACTGCACATACAGTACCGATTTAGACAGGAGCCAATCAACCTGCTAGCATGTCTTTGTAGTGTGGCAGGAAACCAGAGTACCCGGAGGAAATCCATGCAAGCACATGGAGAACATGCAAACCCCTTGTGTAACTCCTTGTATAACCTTTGCACTCCTTGAAAAGGTTATACAACGCCTAAGTTCTGTAACCTTTAGCAACTGAAAACCCAAACAACAACAAAAAAAAAGATAACAAAGACTATCAAAGTTTATCAAAACTGTCTATATTACCTATAGCAACCAATCCAGTTCTTCTCTTCTGACTGCATGGGGTAGATTTTTATCATTAACATAAGGTTTTTGACCTTAGTGCCCATTTACACCATAGTGTTGCGCAAGACGGACGTTATTGTGTGTTTAGCACCTAGCGCTGTGTACTGTGTGCTAGGTGCGTTGCATTGTTTTGCATTGATGTTCATTTGAATGGCACTCCACCTGCCGGTGGCCGTGCATTAACAGTGCTCATGCCATCTCACGTGTATGGGCTGCTTTAGAATGATTCTACCATAAACATGCACGCTCATATGGACAGAAGATATATATTCAAGAACTGAGCAGACACAAGGCAGTAAAATAGCACAACCTAGCCCATACTGTCTACAGCTTGTATTTGGGCAGTGTGTACAGCAAGCTTTTACAAGGCATTTACAAAGCTTTCCTGTATTAGCTTTTTTTTTTTTTTCCATATTAGGGGTTCAGAAATGTATTTGATTGATTCCACAAAATGGCAAAAGCCATGCTGCACAGCCACTTAACACAGACATTCACTTACTATATATCGATTGATATATCCAGGTTCTCAGTTTTGGCCCCCAAAATACTTTGGCTGTCCTTGGCCCTGGAAACGCGTAAACCCAGGCATACTGTGCGGTCACATGGGAGCCACCATTTGTGCAGCTCTCTCATGCTGTTCTTGCTTTTTGCAAAGACTGAGGATCAACCTTTGATTTGAAGGCTCAATGTTACCTACTCTTTTGTGAGTATCATTCCACTTTTTGCCATTTATATAATAAAAATGTATCTACACTAGGGAAGGCGCCCCCTTGTTTTTGTTTTCTCATCAGTACAATTTACATACCTGTAACTCCTGAGGCTCCCGTACCATCTTCTGCCACTTCGATTTCCGCTTTATGAATGGCTTGAGAGACGTACACATTGCTCTCCTCTGAAATAAAATGTTTGAGGGATGTTTCATTTATATCACACTGACATTTCTGTAGACCAATATCAGAGCTGCAAGCCAAACAAAAATGTTTGTACAGCCAATAGAAATACAGGCACCTAAAGATCGTCTACAAATCCATGAAAGAAAAGTCAGTTACAGGTTTTTGGGTAGAAAATAATGGCCGAAAAGAAGGTGACGTGTAAATTGCAGGAATTAGTTTTCAGTGCAAGATATCATGGTTTATATGAGGTGACAGCTATGGACTGATATACAGTAGAGCCAATCGGGGCTCTTCTTAGTCACCATACTGCCACTGGCACCCCTAAATGATGGCACCCTGTTGCACAAGCTTTGTCAAGCAATTTTGTTATTATAACTATTATACAAGATTTATATAGCGCCAACAATAAGAAAGACATTACAATACAATTCAAGACAAGATGGTAAGGAGGGCCCACAATCTAAAAGGAAGGGGGATATAGTGATACATGAGGAGGTAGCTTTGTGGGGTTGAATTGTTTGAGAATGTAATGGTTGTTGTGAAAACTAATGCCAGAAAGTACTATTAGAGAAGACACGTGGCCTGCTTTAGATTCACAACTGTTTAAATGGTTTAAATGTCCAGCCTAAAGCACAGAATAGAGATATAACATGTTTTGTGAGCTATAAATGTTGCCATAAACTTCCAGAGGTGACCGGAAATGGTGAACAAATAAAAAAAATGAATGATCACAGTTTATAAATGGTGAGGATTTCACCAGTCACAAGTTCCAGCCTACTGTTCTTAAAGGAGAACTATGAGGTGAGTGCTTTTCACTCACTTCATAGTTCTAGCCGACCTGTGACAATGAGACTGTCACAGGTCGGCTCAGTAGATCGGGAAGTGAGCGAACACTTCCCGATCTACTGAGTGCTGACTGGCGGAACGGACGGGGGAGGGGGCGGGGGCGGGTACAGCTGGCTCTGCCTCTAGATAGGCAGAGCCAGATGTCAGTCACGCAGCTGGGCGGATCCCGGCACAATTGTCGGGATCTGCTTTAGCTGCGGCGTCTCGGTATACTGCAGGCAGCAGCTCGCGGTATACTGAGCCTAGGGTGACGGGAGGACGCTAGTTTGTGTCCTCCCATTACCCTAAGGAGAACTATGGGGAAAAGCCAGCCTTAACCCCATAGTTCTCCTTTAACCAAAGGCAACTCTAAAGGCGGAAGGCTACTTAATGGCTTTTTACACCCAAGTTTACAAAGAAATAAAACAAAGGTTTTCCCTCTCAAGGGTATAGTCTACTCTCGCAGACAACTCCCAGTCCCGGAAATCACCTATATCGATCAGGTGCTGAGGTATTTATCCATACATTAACCCCTTAAAGCATTGCTATACACTTCAGCTTATAAACTTCCCTAGTCTAGATGGTGTATATATAACATTCAACACCAGTCTCTGGATCATCTAGGGCCTCCTGTCTAAAAATGATGAGTTGTTTGCCATCTTAAATGGATTCCTTATGAGCAGTTCCCCTGAGGCCACCTACATGAAGTCACATAAAAAGGAAAAATAATGAAATAAATCATGTAAATAGGATGCAGTTATAACGTAAAGCTGTCACAAGAGACATACAAAGTTTGCATTGCAAAATGCGAGTTGGCTGGTTGTGATGTGACCCACTGGCTTCATTGCCTTCTAAATATCAGGCACGGAGCAAATATGCACATCAGAAAAGGCAGAGAAATGACATAAGACCTTCATCGTGCATCACCAATTAATCTGTCTACAGACTTTAAAGAGCAGTTGGTTGGGCAGGCACAATCTAGGAGACGAGAGTACACTGCCAGTGCTGGAATTATCTGGGCCGTAATACACCAATTGGACAGGTTTTCCAAAGTGTCCATGTACCCAAGGCAGCAGCACAAGGGGTACAGCACCAGGGGCTAAATCTTCCACCAGACCCAGTAAACACACCTTTGGGGAAAGAGTAAGACTCATAAACATTATAGAGACAAAGTCGTGCCATTTTAAGCTTATGTCTTTATCTTGTTCCTCTTAAGCCCTTAGTGTTGTGTTTTATATATATAAATACACCTACAAATGCAAAATTACCTGACATCCCTTTAAAATCAGCTTTCCTTGGATCAAAAAGATCCAAGACTCCCAGGGCTGGTAATACCACTTTTAAGTCACTGTGGCTTTGCAATTTGAATCTGTAAGTAAAAAAAAAAAAGGATTGGTAAGTTAGTGTATCAGCACATGGATATGGCGCTATAAAGACAAACTATAAAGAAACTGTTCAAGTCAGAAATCTTGGGGATAGCAGAAAGAAACCCCAATATATAAATTAACAATAACATCCTGCTGAACCTGAAATGTTTCACTTTTTGTTTTAATTGAGTAAAACATTACTCCATTCTTGCTCTAAGGATTATTCTTTTGTAGCCATAAAGTTCCTTCATTGTGTTTTAGATTTTAGAAATGGAATTGCAGGGCTACCACAGATTTGGGGTTGGAAATAAAAGGTCATCAACCTACATATGGGGCATATAAACATTTTGTGCAATGAACGTGTTCCCTGTAAAAAAGAAGCTAAATACTTTCCTCTCCCACTGCACATGACTGTGTCCTCTAGTGACATCAGGGACAACAGTGTTGGTTATGTGTTTAGATGCAGCACTAAGATCTTGAGGAATGCTGATTTAAGTTTTACTTGCCTATGAGGACATTGCATGTGAATACAGCATTCTGCAGGGAACATATACACAGATAGAACTTCCTGTGTATCATAGATACGTATATATAAGCATAGAGAATAACATTGCACTACAATGATATCTACAGCTCAAAAGACAAGTAATACAAATCAGTGTATGCTGTGGTATTTCCAATAAACAGGAACCACTGAGAGCCAAGAGGGTCCAGGAGATCAAAAGTGCCAGAAGTGCTGGAGGTTTTTGGTTTGGGGGTGTAGAATATATAAGTATAGAAGTATTTTGTTTATTTTTTACAGGGAAGACTTTAACTGCCAAGTTGAGTTTGATCACAAAGTTGCTTTAAGAGTTAGGTCCTCCCAAAACAGATATTTCAGGTATTGGTAGGTACCGATTGGTTGGATATCTCTTCAGCTTCCTATATCTCTCTGGGACTCGAGTTGTAAGATCTCCCTGAGCAGTACCCATCATTTTGTCCTGCCACATCAATACAATTCCTCTAGCTAAATACGCAATGTAAGGTAAATAAAGAAACCAGTAAAAAGATAGTGATCACAGATTAGCTTGGGTAAACTCATTGCCAGAGTCCCCGAGAAATATAAAAAGTTCTACTAATCTACTAGCATCCACTCAAAAGTAATATATCAGATTTGGTTGACCTTAAGCCGGCCATACACTGCTCAAATTTCAGCCAAGTCCTGTTGACTCATTTTGACAAAAGTGGATTTTTCAATTGACTTTTGTTGAAGGAGCCAGTCCAAAAGTTCTGGGCTGGGCGGTGACTGCTGCATACCTGCTGCTGTCAGAATAAAATAGCCCAGGAGGGGAGATTCCCTCCATCCATGCTGCTTAGTGTGGATGGAAGAATCAAGTCCTCCAGGGGCTGAAAGTAAAAAAGAAAAACATTTAAGTGTAAGGTCTTTGAAAATACTCTTTGATATATTACTACCTGGGCATAAAGATGTCCATTTTGAATTTCTTCATGGAGCTGGTCCACAGTGCTATGCTCTTTGATGTCAAGCTTGCTTCAATGGAAGATAATGGTGTATTCTTGTCTGTGGGCCGTACCACAAACATACTGACTGTATTCCCCAGGTAAGGCAGCTCCACTATGGTAAACTTCTTAAAAGAAGTGGTTTCAAACTGGCCTGGAGAAGTATATACAAAAGGCATATTGGTAAGGGAACTATACAGTGGTGGTGTTCAACTCATGACCCTCCATTGCTCCCTCATTGGCCCTCCTGAACTTATTAACAGATGATTTGCTAATAATATTTTCTCTTTTCTTCCACAGATTTCAGCAAGGTGAACAGGAAAATGGTGTCAGATCTTGGAACAACATAGGATCACACATAACAGGAAGAAATACGGTATATTTGACACTGTTCGTGTTGTCTGTTGGTTCAAAAACATTTGGAAGCGTATTCAGTAACAGTATGGCATTGAAAAGATTGGTGATCAGGAAGTGCAATACATCAGAGCAGCCTATCACATTCAAGTTTATTGTAGCTAGTTCAGTTGAGATATGATTTCTTATTGGATGTCATGTGTAACTGCAATTTTTACATTGCCATTCGTATTTGCACTGCTTTAAGACACTAGTGTTAGGAATGAACTTTACAGATGTTCTAACCCAGAGATCGGCTTTAAATGCATTAGTCAATTGGTGTGCCAGTTAACAATAGCGTGCCATACTCATATAGTTTGTTTTCAACTTTTGCACTCATAGTTGTACTGCTAATGGCAAGCTAAACTCATTAATTATTTAACGTGTGCCCCCAAAACATGTTAAATTTACCACTAATGTGTACTAACCCAGTGTATGCACCTTCAGACCTCAGATCAGCCTCAATTATAGCAACTTCAGACCTCAGTTCCATCCCAAATAGTGCAACTTCAGACCTCAGATCAGCCCCAATTAATACAACTTCAGACCTCAGTTCAGCCCCAATTAATGCAACTTCAGACCTCAGATCAGCCCCAATTAATGCACCTTCATACTTCAGATCAATCCCATTTCCTGCACCTTCAGGCCTCAGATCAGCCCCAATCAGCCCCTGCAGGTTGCTGACCCCTGTTCTAACTCTTCCCCATTCGACCAAATAAATGTGATTGTGTCACTGTTTCGGCCCCCAGCAAAAAAATATCTCACCAGGACAGTTACACAGGCAGCAATAAAAACCTGCGGTCCTAAAATGCATTGGCTTTATTGCTTTCTATAGACCTGGAACAAACATGCAGATCAAGAGTTCTGACTTCATTCTGATTTTCCAATTTGCATACATTTCAGTGATCCATATGGTACTGAAGGCAGATACAGACAGGCAAATATTATTTTTAGGAGGTCCTGTATTTCCCTCAGTTCAAGTTTGCTGTAGGCCACATTTACACAGCTGTGTTGCCATATTGTGGCAACTCATGTTATGCATGTCAGTGTGCTGTAGTGCCATTCATTCGCAATGGCACTCTAACACACCTTTCCCAATTCACTGGTGTTTCAGTGCACCAGAACGATTGGCAATACACTGCCATGTGTTGTGGTGCACTGCATTGCTAAGAGTGCATGATTTACTGGGGCATTAGGAACACCATTCAAATTCAAATGAATGGGCTGCCTTAATGCAATACAGCTTAACATGTCATAATGTGTGTTAATGCAATGCAAAGAAGTAAAAGGTCCTTTTAAAGGGAAGCTGACATGAACAAAAACTACTGTAGGGATATAATGCAAACACCAAGAGCTCCCTGCACTTACCGGCAGCAGCCTCCAATACATTGCCGTTATGGCATCATGAAGAAGAAGAAGCTTGCCTACCCCTTCCTGCCTCCTGCATACTTATATTGACCTGTAAGGCACCCCATCATAGTGATGGACCAGTAAAAAGTGTGGGGGGCAGGAGCATCAACATTATCTGAAAGTGTTGAGATTTTGCCTGTCAGAACGGCCACGTTTGAAGTCTCCAAAATGTAACCAGTTGTCAAAATTGCTGCAGAGTAATGGCCAGTCCAGAGAAAAAGCATCTCTTCCTTTTCCCTAGGTTCCCGAAACACCTCAACATTGCATTTTTAGAGGTGGTGTAGGTAATTAGCAAATGTTATTTTATAGTAAGAGATTATAATTCTAATCCATATATATAGTCCGCTCCTACTTACCATAGTTAACATCTGCAGTTTGATGCATCATGGGAACCTTTACCACCGACCCATCCGTGCTGATAAAAGGCAGCATCTGTGTGTCTGTGAAAGAGAATTTGGTTTTCCATCTGCTTCTAAAGTACATTGTGCTCACAAGTGTGATTTGTGTAAAACCCGGCACAACAGGTCCACAGGGCACAAGGGTCTGTATCCCACCTGTATGGAAGAAGACAATAGGCTTTTACTAGTTACATGACTGACTTTATAATCATGCTTTCATGTTGTATCTATCACCTATACACTTCATTCACAATGTTAACACTTCAGGATATGAATACCTATTTAAAAAAATAAGTGATTTCCTTCTGCCAATGTGTGTACCCAGCTTTAGTCTGAAACAGGGAGAATAAACTCTGTTTCCACCTTGCTCCCTTAGGTCTGATGGCCCTGCCAGCAACTCCTCTGGAAGGGTTATAATGCTAAATGGTCTGCAGTGAATTCACTACAGTGTTGTCTCCCTGCTCAGTGCTACGTCACCACAAATTCTGAGGAGGGGGGTTATCAGCGTCATCACCAATGATAACATTCCCTTCGCTGCCAATCACCAGAGGACTATTATCCATTAGGGTGCCTTGCAAATGGAGGAAGTGACTCAGGGTGCCCTCTTGGATCCTGCACACGAGCAATTATGGAGTGGGGACCCCTCACTCATAGACAAGTTAAAAAAAAGTTGATTGGCATTTATTAGAGGAAGGGAAACTGGCAGTAAAAGAAAGGTTCAGCCAGAAAGGGACATGGAGCTCCCTTGGTACATGTGGGTACTGAATGACAGAAACCAATTTCAGGTTAGACCAGTGATGCTACTGGGTATCACCCAGGCCCATGATATAATGCAATGTTTGAGAACCAATGACAGGGCTACACTGACAATTCAGAGACACTGGTCAGTTAATCAATGCTACAGGTAACAATCTACTGAAGGTGTAGGCAACCTCTACACAGCTGTGGTAAAAAATATCTAATCATGCTTCTGTCTCTGGGACCCATACCTGTAACTGTCCTGCAATGCCTGGGATGGGACTTGTAGTTCCACAAAAGCTCTATAAAAAGCAGTACAAAAAATAGATACAAAAAACAATAAAGAATAATACATGAACACAGGTCACTCTCACCACTGGTACTGAGCTATATAAAGGAGCAAAGAAGATATGCAGCTAAATAAATATATAACAAAGTGTAGAGAGCATGCATGCGTAAAATATACCATACCAGATCCAAATTAGCAAGGAGATGTTTAAACAGCGGACACCTGATTGAAGTCGGGGGGCAACCTCAACGTTTCAGGGTTAATACACTTTCCCAGTCCCAGGAGGACATATTTTCTCATTACATACAGTATGCAGGTTTTAATTCCTGCTGAGCAATACTGCACAATAGTTTACTCTCAGTACTGGTCTATCAGCACAGAGCCATACCGCAGTCAAGAAGAATTCCAACAATATTGTCGAGATGCACCTGGCTGCCTAAGTAAGTGCTGGCTTTGCCTCTCAGGAGCCAGAGCCAGTTGTGCCCACCTCCTCCCTTGTCTGCCTAACCAGTGAGCGCTGGAGGACTGGAGAGGGGAGAGGAAATCCCTGCGTGGAGCGATGACTGACAGTCACTGAATTCCGTTCAGACACTGAGCGGACTGATCAGTGGTTATGATTGCTCAGCTCTTGGTCTTAGAGCCAATGTGTGACAGCTCCAGCATCCCATACCAGCTCTGACCATCCACATATTTCTTCAAAGTGACTCTGTTATGAGAGCAGCACATGGGCCCTAAAAAAGAATTGTTGCCTCACTCTGTCTGATGTCAATACAGACCCAAAACAAGCATACTGAAAATGAGTGTCAGAATTCCTCATCTCTATACTTGCTACCAGTGAGTAACGTAGAAAGCACTAAAACCAATGACAACTGTTATCTTCAGAACCTATAGTCAGCAATGGCAGCTTATGTTATTCTCTTGTGACAGGTTTCCTTTAAACCATTTAAGGTAAAAGCAGTGCTGAAGTGCAGGGCCATCGTGATGTTTGCCCTGTGTCCCTGTGCAGCATCCTTTAATCCTAAACCCAGACTGTACATGAAGCCTCCACTTGTGCCCAACCCAAATATAGATTACACCCTGCCCTTGTCTATCAAAACGTCAGTGGAGAGTAGAGGCCCTGGTATTAGACAGCTGAATGACAGGGGGAGCATCAGGAAGGGATGGGCTTAATCTCAATTTGGGAAGAAGTTGAACCCTCCATGTACTGTTTGGCCCTAGGGTCCAGCAAGGTCCACCAGGACATTGGGCTTGATTTCTTTGATAACCAGAAGACAACAGATTTTTCAAGTTGTATATACACAGCATAGCAGAGCTTTCTTAGAACAAAATGAGGGTGATTCAATAAAACATTTGCCACCCTTTTCTGCCTTTATAACGGTATTAGAAAGTCTTGCTCCAAATTCATAAAGTTGTTCAAATGTTTTCTTGCTATTTTCAGCACGTGCAACAAAGTAGTTTCTTTTACCTTCTGTTGATATCAGAAAAGCAGAGGTAAATAAGACCTCTTCCATGTTGGAGTAAATTGTGTTACATGTGTACGTATTGTGTCGCAGACAAAATCCTGTCTGAGCCAACATTCTGTCTAAGGCAATTCTGCAACAGATTCATATTTGTTGCATGGATGGGAGGCAGATTTGTGATGAGTGTCTATGACACTCACAATTCATAAATCTAAGGGAATTACCGTATTATTTATTTTAGGATAGCGGGAAAGGTCACTATCTGAAAATGAGTCAAAACCCATCGGGTCAAACTTTCTAGATTTGTATATTAAATACTGTAATAAAAATATAAAATAGAAAGCAGGTAAAAAAACTATAATTTGTAGGTGTTATAATAATAATGTCAAAATGGTACTTCCATTGAAGAAGTCACTTTTACAGCATTCTACTGAAAGGCACTTTTATGTATTTGGCTTCTTTTCCATAACCAAACAGAAATATAATTAAAACATTTTTTTTGCCTATTTTTAGATCTATTATGTTGCTTCAGCTGGTGATTTTTTTACTTAATTTCGGGACAGTCAAGGATTTCTTAGATGAGAAAACGGGGAGGATGCGAGAGAGGGAATCCTTCCTGAATAATATGTTGCACGCGGTGGAAAACAAAATGGAGCAGTATAGTGTGAATGAGAAAACCTTGTGGTGGGTCCTCATCATAATTCTGTTGGTGATTTGTCTTGCTGTTGTCGCTGTGTGGATGGCAGTCAGACACCGAGCCACATCAGCGCAGGAATCATCTATTGCACATCAGACTGGCAGTGACACCAAGCAGTTCCTGAAGCAGCGGAGACGCATCAGGCGGTTATGAATGACTCAGGGGGAAATTACCCTATATACCAGCCAACACCTTCTGTTTTGGATGTCAAATAAATTGATTTCAATCTATGTGATACCAGCAAACCCTCCATCTGAGTTGACCTGCATCTGCCTGACCGATGTATAATAAGGGCTGTACAGGTTTGCTGGAGGGTGAGCTAATTTAGGTCTGCAAGGGCATGTTAAAAGGATATGTGTGCTTTTTTTTTAAAGTGCATTCTTCCTTCAGAAGAGAGACAAAGTAATTACTAGGGATGAGCTGAGGTTCCGAACTAAACTAGTCCAAACCTGAGCTCCTCTAAACCTGGAAGGCGCTCCTCCCAAACACGGAAGGAGCTTTACAATCAGCTGTGGGTGGGGAATTCCCTGGCCACAACTTGATGTGAGCAAAGGGATGGGGTGCAGTGACGTCATTGACCTTATATGGCTACATGGCTAGATTAGGTAAGCTACATTTACCTTCATGTGGTGAAAAGGGCATCTACACAGGCATCCACACAGGCATCCCACCTCTTTGTTTATCGTCAGCTGCAGGGCAGGGAGTGCCCTGACCCACACTGATTGGGCAAGAGGACCATGTGGCTTCCATATTCGGATGAGCACATGTTTGGACTGAGTACAGTCCAAACCTGACCTCACCCCTAGTAATTACACTGAACAATTAAGACCTCCCTCTAGTGGCAAATTTACCAATATCTATATTTAATACAATGTAACGGAAGAGCAAGGGTATACAAATTTGAAAAAAAAGGCCTTCCTATTAAGGACTAGCCATGTTTACAGCAAAGGTCTCATAGTGGTGAACTGTAGAAAAGATCTCCTCACCTCCTGTGCTTCTGGTAACCCACTGATTGATCTGACTTGCTGTCCAGGTTTGCTGACTGAAGTTAGCCTGTTGAAGGCTGCTGTTTGCCCATAGTGCAGCATTTTCAATAAACTGTGCAGAGAGGGAAGTCCCGGTCTGCACAAACAAGGCACACGCCAAGCGTATGGATGTTTCCTGGCTGGAGTTGGCTAGTTCCTTGTGCATCGCTTTTATGAAATTTTGTACAGATTCATCTAAAATAAGGAAGAAAGCAAACCATGTTACTGTACAGACTATAATAAAATCAGTGCAATACCCTCAGTTATGTACACACTCTGCCCAATACATAAAACCTCTACTGGCAGAAATAAGGCTGCTATGGGTGTCCTCCCCTTCTGAATTTACTGCTTGTATGGTGATCTGATGGCTTCAAGCACATGACAGGCAAGTCAACATTTTATGGAGAGGGATTAAAACCCCTGACAGGTTTTTATTGCTATCTTTGTCCCTGTTAGGGAGAGTCACCCTTTCCATTTGTCCTCCTGACCATTATCACTAAAGTGAAAGTAAAAGAATATCCCAAATTAGGAGTTGTCACAGGAACAGATTTATCTCTCTTTGGTGGGAATTCCTCTCACCTTTTGTTGTGGATATTGGACAGGAAGTAAATGGAAATCTCCCCAATGGGACATGGATGGCAAAACTCAATTTAATGCATATACGTTGACTTAGCTCAGAAGATGAACATGACAGCCTAGTAGCTAACATTTCCAGCAGATGGACATAAATGACAGCTTCTAAGGCCAGACTTTCTTTAGCACCTAGATGCCTGCAATTGTTTCTTATCAGCATGGTTTCCAATGTCAACAGAACTTTAATATGTGTTCTGTTGTAGAACTAGGAGTGTGTAGCTGTAATTAGCCCCAGCATTAGAGAAGATAATCGCAAAACCCCATATCTTTTCATACAACTGTACAATGAGGTCATATATAGTGTCCTGGCATACAGAACAACAGACATAGTCAAGGAATGTGTTTGCTGATTGTGGAGGAGCCAGAGCCATGGGGGACACACTTAGCCAAGTGACCTGACCTGCTTTTTCTGACCTGCATAGCAGGTGTCCTCTGGTGACTGTCCAAAAGTGTGGAATAGGCATACATGTTCCTTCATCCATATCACAATGCAGTTCCCATGTCTAAGTGGTGTGAGATCTGTCACCTGAGGATCAAGGGTTTGTGCTTTGTCATATGTAAAGACTGACTTTCATAAATATCGGTATTTGCATAGCATTTTATGGAGGCTGAAGTAGATCAATGGGCTAGAAAGCAGAATCACTAAAGGTCGAATGTCGCTGTGGAGGGGCTTTGCAGTCTGCATTAATTGATGGCTAACACAGTACAAGACTCTTCTTCTATTGAAATTCACTATAAAGTAAGTTACACAGTATAATAATAACATAAAACAGTCATTGGAAATGCACTACAGTTTGCCATTAAAACCCCAGGATGCTAAACAGCTCTCTTCCGTAGATGCCTGAAAGGGGAAAGAACTACAGATCTTTACACTGCTGAGGAAGACATCTGGTCACCATACCGCAAAGGGTGAACACCTAATCCTGCGCTTTTGATTCTTTTAAATTAAAATCCTTTAAGTACCTCATTATAATTAAATACAGGCGTTTGAAACTATTTTTTGTTTTCTTTATTCATTCTGCATGACCCTCTGGAAGTGACCTTGTTATTGCAAATTATTATAAGATTAAGAAGAAAAAAAGTTCATATGCTCATGGGCTAATAACTAATCCTGCTATTGCAGGGCTGCCATATACCTTTTATTTAAAGTGGAAGTTGTGGCAAAATGAAAAATCACATATATGATGCAGTCTGCCACTTGAATTAACACAATAGTGCTTGTTTATATGAGTTCCCTTATCAGGGAAGAAAAAATCAATTGAAGAAAAACCTAGTCATTCCGTATATTCAGATAGGCAGCTGACCACATTTTTTGGACACATGACGTTGTTGAACCTAGTAATTATCCGGTGGAAGGCTCTCACCTATTTGCTTAGCTAAATCCAGGTGGTGACTTTTTTTTTTGGCCAGGCACTCTATATACTGAATATTATGTGCAGCCCCTCGGTGATATCAGGGGCCACAGCTGAGGTCCCCCTATATTTAGCCAGTTGACCATCACTGCTCTAAATTATTTAGATCTGATTAATTAATATTTTTAAAATATATTTTATATTACTATTTTTAAATAACATTTTACCATGAACATTGTATCCCAGTACATTTTCTATCTGAGTCAAGGTGCTTCCTCGAGCTCCAAACTGCAGTAACCCCAGAGAGTTGGCCACACTACTTGGGGAGACCACTAAGTTAGTCCTGTTTTCTGTGTCCACTAACGTCCGGTAAAGCCTGACAGCAAACTCCGTATTCAACTCTCTGAGTCTCTCATGCGAATGGCTGTATCCCCGGCTGAAACAACTTAAATACACGAGCACCAGGAGCAGGTAAACTGGAGGCATGGAGAATGTGTGCCCAGATGATCGCCAGTCCTAGAAAATGTAAAGATAAAATACAGGTACTGCATGTAAAACCATTTTGCATAAGCTTTAACATGGTAATGTCATTTCAAAAGTAGTTTTGAATGTCACCTGCAGCATTAATTAGAACAATACCAGCTGATCCTGACTTGAAAGTTCTTTCCTATTATGGGGTAACAACTGTCTCTGTCTACATTAGGCACAGATTGCACAGGCATGATCTATTGTTGTCACCATCTGGAAATCCACCTTGGGAAATGCTATCAGTGTCGGGACAAGGACCTCTGACACCCAAGGCGAGGATGGCAAAGTGTGCCCCGCTTCACCAAGTTCTTTAATTCAGCATTACAAAACACAAATTTAAAATGTTTATATATGAAAAGTAAAAAAAAAGCTAAGGAAAGAGAAACAAAAAGTTAATAAAACAGTTAACTAAAATTTTAGCTAGAAATTTGCCTTTTCAGCAAGTTGACAATTCTGCTGGCCAAAGGTGGCTCCATTGGTGCTCCATAGAGTGAATCTGCCATAAGACAGGAAGTGTGAAAATAAAGGGGAAAAAAAAAACCTAAGGATTGGTAACCTGCAATTTATTAAATTATTGGTTTGGGATTTAGATACAACGGAACTCGGTTGGTGCCAGAGCCTTTTTTGCCCTTTTTTTGCACTCATGTTAAAATACAAATTTTAGACCTGAAGATTAATTTAACCAACCACCCAGAATTATATATTTCCTGAAAGCAGAATGAAATGGTGGCAATTGCAATTTTTTATGTTGCATTTTATTATCATAAGTGTTTCTTAAACCCAAAAGTAAATTTTAGTGCACATTAGCACCATATTTTACCCAATATTTTGGTAAAATATAAAAGATGAGGTTGTGCTGAGTAAATAGATACCAAACTTGTCAAGCTTCAAAATTGCATGCACCTGGCAAAAAACTACAGCACCCAAAATTGTCTATAGGTGACACTTTAAAAGCCTGTACATGCTCTCAGTTTAGAGTTAATAGTGAAAAATTGACCTAGAATTATTGCTTACACTCTGGCATGCATCGCAATACCTAACATGTGTAGTGCAATTGCCAATTTTGTACATAGGCGCCCATGACGCATTTTTGTGTTAGTATTTTTTTGCGCATATCCAGGGGAGGGAGACATTTTTTTGGGTGTATTTACATTTAATTGATTTAACTTTTTTTTTAACTTAATTTTATTGTTATTAAATAGGGTGGCTCACAGGGCCCCTATGTGATAGCACTTTAGTGGGGAGAGGTCCTCAATTAGACCCCTAATATCATCTTTGCAGCCTGTTGAAGTTGATCAAGCACAGATCTTGCTTGATCAGCTTCCTCGCCTGCCTCTCTGGCCAGGGAATGGCAAAACCATTGTTGCTTCTGGGTTCATTCAGCAGGTAGGAGATCAGCAAACCAAAGTTTGCTGGTCTCTCTCTTCGCCGACAGGACTCACATTTCAACAAAGTAGTATCATTTTTACAGAATGTTAACATTTTTGGTAAATTAAAAATATTCAATTTAGAAGTTAAAATGTATCAACGAATGTCCATATTTTCTCCCAGGTTATGAGGAGCCTATAAGATTTTTAGCTTGGGAAAGGGCTGGATTAAGAAGAATATCTGATTTTTTATCTTCTGCAGGGATTTTGCCCTTTTTCTGAGATACAGGTCAAAAATAAACTTCCCAATTCTGAGGTATTCCGATATTTACAAATAAAATGTTTTATTAACACGGTTTTATATCATGTTAAATTGCCATCTGAATTAACAAAGTTTGAACAAAAATGTCTGAAAGATCTGCATGGTAGAGGAAGTCTCTCTATTATTTATACATCTCTGATGGAGGGTACTAATACACGGCCTCTGCAATATGGGTTAGCCTGGGAGGAGGAACTAGGAAGACAATTAGAAAAGAGAGATTGGCGCCAGATTTGGGACACAGTAACCCATTGTCCACATAATTCATCGGCGGTAGAAGCAATTATAAGCTTTTGTTTAGATGGTAAATGGTCCCTATTAAACTGGCAAAGTTCCCGAAGGGTTCCTCCTTGCTATGTTTTCTAGGATGTGGGGAGGGAGGCTCCATGGCCCATATATGGTGGAATTGCCCTAAAATTCAGCTTTTGTGGATGAGGGTGTATCAGATAATATAGAGAGTCATGGGAAGAAGGTTAAGGAAAGACCCATGGGAAGCCTTGTTATATTTAAAGCCAGAATGCTGCACACAAGATCAAATTAGATTGATAACATTCACCTTTATAGCAGCAAAACAAACAATAGCTAGATCTTGGAAGTCAGAGATACCAGTTATTCAATAAGTGAAACAAAAAATTGCATGGTATTTCATATATAAGAAACTGACTGTAATATTCATTGGATTCAAAAATATATGCCTCCAGATTCTGATATATATTTTGAGGATATGGATCTATAGGAATTAGGCTGGGTTCACACCTAGGCGGATTGAATATGCACGTTTTTCGCGCGTTTTTTTTTACCGCGATTCGCGGAAAAAAAAACCGCGCGGAAGACGCGCGGTTCCGAGGGATACTTGGCTGTATCCCAATGGAACCGCCCGACCAAAACGCCCCAAAGAAGTACATGTACTTCTTTGGGCGTAGGGCGGTTTCCCGCACGTTCGTACTCGCGGAAAACCGCCCAGATGGGAACCATGCACATTGAAAATAATGGCATTTCCCTGTTTGAGCGTTTTTCCGCGAGTACGAAAGCGCGGAAAAATGCCTAGGTGTGAACCCAGCCTTAAGGTTGCTTGGGACCTGCAAGGTGTGAGGGGGAGGAAGTTTCTGAGGAGAGAAGGAAAGAAACAGATAGAAAAGGGTTTTTTTGGGTGAAGGGTATGGTAAGAATGAGGGATGAATGTAAGGTAAATGTTGATGTGTAATGAATAGATTGTCGATATTTTGATTGTTTTTTGTAAATATAACATGTGGTTGGAATGGGAATTCAAAGAAGGATCCAATAATGTTTGTAATGTTTTATGCTATAAAATGTATCTAAAAATGTTATATACTGCAGCTTACCAGTCCTTGGATGTGGTGGATGAACCAATAAACATTGATATAGGTTTATATCTGTGGATGGATTTTTAAGGATTACTAAAATCACTAAAAACATTTGTTATTTTAAAAATGCGTTGCTGTTTGTGCCACGGTGACTGACAAACCTTTATATTCATATTTCTAGTTTCCACCTTAAAATATAACGCCTGCACAAACATGATGAAGGTCAGCTTTTTTTTATAAGAGTACCATAAGAGAATTACATTTCAACATGTAATCATGGATATAATGGAACTTATGTATTCTGTTACATATCAAAGAGGACTGACTTTTAACGTTTAAAAGAGTTCTATAATAAGATAAAAAAACTGGAGGTGATTCATTACTGTTATTTTAATTGTATTTAATTGTTGTTTTTGTTTGCTATTATAGATGGTATTGTAAGGTTGTACAATACTTGTAATATGTGGAACAAAGGAAGGTGCTTTTATAATGTGACAGGTCTCTAATGTTCAGTGGAGACCTCACAGAGCTCCACACAGGTTATATAACAATTGCCAATTATGTATAAATTATAACTGAGAAAAATCACAATGTTACTTTTCAAATCTAACTTATTATTCTCTACCAGTTCTGACACCACTACTCCATAAATGTCACTTTGATTTTCAGAAATCCTCCCCTCACTATATCTTATATTCAGAACCGAAGGGGGTTACTCACTAAGCTGCCACAGGCAGCTGAATGAATAACCGGGCCGAAGTGAAGGGAGCCGAACCCTGTTTGGTTATTCACTTCAGCCATGAAATAGCCGTGGCTATTTCTGAATTGAGAAAGCTGGTTGGATGACCAGTGAAACGTCTTCAAGAAAAATACAGCAAGTCCAGTTGCCTTGACTTATTTTTTTACAAATATACCATGACCTGGATGAATGAGAACCTTCATAGAGATATTTCAATAGCGATTTGAAAGGTGCAGACTGAATGTCAACAGATAGGCGGAGCCAGCAGTGATATCACTGCTAGCTCTGTCTATCTGTTTACATTCTGGCCGGCACCAGTCCAAATGCTCATTTAACATGGGAGTTCGTCACGTGTGGTTGGGTCGGCAGGCAACCCCTGGAAGTTGCTAACAGATTGAGATATTTAAAAACTCTAAAACAAATCTGCAAAGTGCTTCTGTCACTTTTTTGACTGCTGTAAACTGAAAAGTGAATCGTGATTAGTTGCTAGTGATTACTGCGTTGTACAAATCATCATCGTCAACCTATTTATTGTCTTATTAATTAAAGTGGAAGTAAACCCTTGTAAAAAAAAAATGGCCTCCCAGGAGCTTTTAGCTCTAATGTGATAGTATGTACAGCATATTAGCACTTTATGGCAGATTTATCTACCAATCCGATCCCCTCTGGTGCTTCCATCTTTGGCTTGGTTCTCCTTTGAGTTAGGAGTCTTCGGCTGCTTCATTTTCTGGGCCCTGATAATGTAACTCCTGAGCATGCTCTCAGGAGTTACTTCATCTCAGCATGCGGGTCTGTGCGCTGAATTGTGCATGCAGCACAATTCAGGGTACAGAAAAAAAAAGCCACATGCTAAAAAGAAGGTTTTATGGCAGAAGAGACGTACACAGTATAGTCTGCCATAAAAGGCCTGCAGATCTTCAATGTTTCCCTTTACTTCCACTTTAAGCCTGATAGTGAAATAACAGAGCAATTTACAGAAGACAGTTTTACAATGAGTGCAAGATCTTTGCCCATTCTTCTAATAATTGATGAACGCATTGCAGTGACTGCCATTTGTTCAGTCCAGTTTAGAAAATTTGTATCCATATGTTTCTGGAAGTGACCTTATGTTTACTGCAGGCCATCAGTATAATGATTTCTATTTTAAATTCCAACAATAGAAATTTTCCATCATGATGCCAGATTGTGACCGATACAACAGATTGACACTCTGGGACATGGTCAGTCCTTGATTTTACAGTTACATCATGTGCCAAAAAACAGTATTTTTTCTTGCACATAATTGGGTGGTGAAAGTCAGCAGAGCATCACCTCATTCACTAAACTAAGGGGAAACATCCCCTGCAAAGTGAAAAGCCTATTTGCCTTTATCAACCCCAGAGAGTCAACATTGCAAAAAAGACATCCAAAAACGTTCCTACATTGTTACCGCTATAGAACAGAACAAAATCATGAGATATGAGAATCTTGATCATCAGAGCTTACAGTATAAAATGGAATCCAACTGTAAGTTCAAACACTGTGCATACACAGATTTTATATCGATTTGATTGGACAGATAAACAAAAGTTAAAAAAAAAGCTTTATATTGAGGGAGTCTACGTCATCAATCCATTTACATTATATCCAGTCCAGTGGGCCCTCACATAACACAGCTGTTGGTAAATTTTGCTGATCTAATACTTTAAATCTGATACAAAATGTGCCAGCAATCCGAGCAACTACAGAGTCATATCCAACTGAAAGCAGACAGTCCGGAGCTATTCTGTAGCCAGCCTCGTTGATGGTATCAACGGTAAACCATGATTAGCCTGAGTGTTATTTGTTCATCCCATTTTTTGTGGGTGCCATTACACATCCTTGCTATGCTGAAAGTTATAACTATAATGAACAATCCTCCTTGTAGACTGTAAATTCTCAAGGTCCTTCTAATCCTTTTGTATGGCATTGCATTGTAATTGTACTGTCCCCTATATGTTGTAAAGTGCTGTGCAAACTGTTGCCACTATATAAATCCTATATAATCATAATAATAACAAATAAAAGTATTTCTTATTACAGCCATTCATTCAGTTGCCCTTGTTTGATTTTGGGATTTTATTTGGGATAAAAAAAATCTTTTTACATAAACTGTAATAATGAAATGGGGTTAGGAATTGGATACATTGCTCATAACAACCTACCACATTTGTGGATTCTTTAATATCAGGGAACAAAAGATGGCAATTGATAGGCTACTATATATATATACTGTTACTTCTCTTTTGTCTGCTCCCCTTTTTCCAGAATTCCCACCCAAGTAGGTTGATTTCCTAAAGCTGGCCATACACTTGGCTGTAGATCCTCAAATCATCTCTGAATTGGTGCTGACACTGTCCTTCCTGGAGGGTGGCAACTTCTGCAAGCTCATTCCTGTGATGGACTACAATCTCAATACAAACTAGTAAACTAAAGTGTGATTGTAGTCCATCACAGGAGTAAGCTTGGTGCGGTGGCTACTTTACAACACACACAGGGGCCATGGGGAACAAAAGTAGCCACCCTCCAGAAGGAAGGACAGTGTCAAAGATGATTTGAGGATCTACATCCCCGTGATACACAAATAAGATACATTTCTGTTAATAGTTAAGGTACTTGAATGTATTTTTAAGATTTAACTAATGAGTTTAGTGTCACTTTAATTTAATTTGAAAGACGGAAGGAACAGTTTCACATTTGGGTATCTCCAATATTTCTGCATCTACAACTCTAGCTGAAGTCAGAAACAATCTACAGGCTTGTCATTTTTTATGCAGTTGCAATCTGTCGCATTGATTCTGCATTGAGTCACTAATCGCAGGCGTCTGCTGGTGTACTCACAGTTTGCCTTGTGCTGCGCTGTCCTCCTCTACGTATCTCTCTGTGAATCTCCTTCTGTCAGGCACTTTGATGTGTGGTGGATGTGTAAAGCTAAATCATGAGACTGCATTGAGAGGGATAGTCGGTGACTGCAGTCTCTATTGGCGATGTCTGTACCACTCTGACCAAATTCCTGTAGACTGGTAGATCTATATAGAGCCAGGCGGAGAGGCTGGTCACTAACCAGCAAATCCAGTGCAAGGCACAATAGGGGACACTTGGAGATGCAGTCAGCACTTTTCACTCACAGTCTTTACAACAGTGTGACCTGATTATGCTTCAACAAATCACTGTGCTATATAAATCTACTATTTATAGACTTATCTATAAATAGTAAAACCTTTGACAATTGTCTGCTTGAAGCATGGTTATAGAATTATTCTTTTCAAGAAGGTACAGTTCTAGCTACAAAATCAAAACGTTTCTATAGGATTAATTTATCATTTTCATATATAAGAGTTATAATCCCATAAATTGGTTTAAGGGTATCTGTAAGGGTATTTGTACTGAGACCTGAAGTCATGGGCTTTCCATGGGAATATATTTTTAGATAGGTTGAACTCCATGGACTTGTGTCTTTTTTTTAACCTGACTATGTAACTATATGGTTTTATCTGAATACTATTAATAAATGATTCTTAGATAAATTATGTAAATTGTATATGACATGATTACCTGACACTAAAAGTGTTTTCTGTAGTTGTGCCTGCTTGAAATCCTTTCACAATAGTCTATATACAGATCATATAACAATAAAGGGCTGTGTCACAGGGGTGATCTAGGATCACTAAGAGACCTTCTACCAGGCTCTATTGAGTTGCTCCCTCATTAGAATGGCTGGCTTGATGTTGCCACTTTGTTATGCCATTACAAGTGAATGAGAGTTGGCAGCACACAGGGCCAGCAAGGGAACAAGAGGTAAGTGGGAGGCTAACCCATGTGGCAATGTGTTGCCACCAAAAGAGTTGCCCCTTCGACATGAGTCTGAAGAAGCTCCTCTAATTCTTTTACTTAGTTCCTAAAGTAGACCTTCACCCTGAAAAATAACATTGCCCCCCTTAAACCCTCCCCTGCTCCCCAAGATGAAAATGTCCCCCCTTTTTTGGGGTTAACTTTTTTCATGATTCACCTTCCAGGCCCACCCCGTCCTCCATTCTCACCAATAATGAATGACGTGCTTCACTCCCAGTGCCATCAGCCGAAAAAGGATGTGAATGCTCATTTTATTTATCCTGTGCTGTGAAAAAGCAATTTACTGTACACTTAAGAATCATGTGCAAATGCTTTTTCTTACATGATTTGATAATTGAAGTGAATAGTGACAATTTTTTAATTTTTTTTAAGCAAATATTCTGAACTTACTTAGCAAATCAGCCTCACAAAGGAGGTGGACTGATGGCAGACATCTCCTGATTATTAATTCAGCCCTACTATGTCAATCATTGGGGCTACAGCAGGGCTCCCACTAACTCCATAGAGGGACTACAAAACTTTTTTATTATGGATAGAATAGTGAGCAGTAAAACATCTGTGTTTTGTTTTTGGAATCTGTGTCCCACTGAAAACAGCAAGTGAGAGGGAATCTCTCCAACATGAGTGAAATGCCTTTTTAGACAGTTGTCACCAGAATAAAAGAAGAGTTCCCCTCTATTCCTTTTTCATTGGAAAACTCAACATTTTTGATTTTCCCTCACCACACGATGGTCATCAGGACAAACAATAAAAACAACAATAAAAAAACTAACTGGGGTTTTAACCCATAACTGCTCCAAAACTAAAAAAAGTCATGTTGTGGTTTTAGATACACGTTCATGTAAGTGCTACTTGGTAGTAGGGAACAAAAGATGCCAGCAGTTAAAAAAAGTGGTACATCTAGGTTTGGGGCACTCTGCCCCACCACAGTACAGTGCCCAATGCTTGAACAGCAAATTGCCAGACGATGGTACAGCCACATGGGAGTCAGTTTGCAAATGTCAACTTTCAGGTTGCTGGAGCAGCAGATTAGTAAGCATGGGAGTGATGGTAAAATAAGAGACGACACTATATGGTGCAGGGACTGCAGGCTGCCAAAATTCACTGCTCTTTTAAAGCCCAATCGAACCTTCAGTTTAAATCAGTTTAATACATTCCAGGTGCATTAAACAAAAGGTTAGAAAGGTCTTACAGTCTTTCTGAAGTAACCTGAGTAGAAATCCCTTTCCTCTGCCAGCATGCTGCAGAGCAACCTTTTCTTAGTCACTGCAAAATGTTAAATTATACAAAATCTCGCAGGCACCCCAGTCTAAAATGTAAATGTATTAAAGGATGTATGGCCCCTCCATATCCCGGAAGCAGGTCTTGTAAAGATTTTAAGGAGTTACCCCCATCATATTAGAGACCTCTCTTCAAATCAGGAGCCCACATCACAACCTCCCTCTTCATATTAGGAGCCTTCTTCACATCAGAAGCCCCACTTTCAAATCAGAGTCCTCACTCTACATCAGGGTCTCCCTTTTACATCAGAGTCCCTCCTTCACATCAGGGTCCCACCATCACATCAGGAGGCGCAGCAGACGGTGGGAGATGGATGAGGCCTGGATGGAGGCAAATGTCCGTCCTTTTCTGAATAGATCCCTCACTGAATTGGCATCATTCATTTTCTGGTGCTGGTGGCTGGCCTGCCTGCACCATGGAAAGACATGATACTGCGTGACAACGTTGAGGCACCCCTGAACAAGCCAGAAGGCACCCCATGGTCCTGTAGCAAGCTGGTTTTAGGAGGCTGCTGTAGAGAAGGACAATTGCTCTGTGGAAAGCAGTGATCTTCTTGCAGAGGTCCGACATGCTCCTGGCTGAGCTCTTGCTATGGCTCAGCAAGGGACGTGTCAGACCTCAGGAAAGAGATCACTGCTTCCCCACAGAGAGCAATGGTGCTTCTCTACAGCATGCTGGCAGGACAAAGGCTTATTTAAAGAAAATGAACTGCAAGACTTTGAACACCTTTTGTTCTTATGCACATGAAATGGATTTAGCTGATTTAAACTGAAAGTTCACTTTGGCTTTAATAACATTTTTGACATTACATACTATATACATTTACATTACATATTACGTGCATACTATATTTTGTATTGGAATGGAACTAAATTCAAAAGTTCTGGTAAGGGATGGTTATATGTGTTCCACTGGGGAGATTTCCCTTCACTACCTGTCTCATAGCCACATCAGGAAGTAAGAGAAAACCCCTCCAAAGTGAGAAATTCCCCATGGTCCCTGTGTGTGTTGTGTAATCTCATGTTTGGTTTACTTATTTGTATTGAGATTGTAGTCCATCACACAAACAAGCTTGGAGCGGTGGCTTCTATACAACACACACAGGGACCATGGGGAACAAAAGTAGCCACCCTCCAGAAGGAAGGACAGTGTCAGCACCAATTCAGAGATGATTTGAGGATCTACAGCCGAGTGATACACAAATAAGATACATTTTTGTTCATAGTTAAGGTATTTGAATGTATTTTAAAAATTTAACTGCTGAGTTTAGTGTAACTTTATGGACATGGGAGATTTAGAGGACATTCACATCAAGGCAACTTAATTAATACAAGAGCTGATAAAAGATCCAACTTACAGCAAACATTTGATAAACAGGGCATATTTTAGGAAAACACATGACTTAAAGGTGACAATAATATGTAGAAATAAACCCATAATCAATATAAAGAGTTGGCAACTGAACATTTTAACCCAAGGACAGAGAGGACAAGGGGAAATCTGCTGCCTTAAGCATGGCGTAGTGCAGCGTTTAGCACCTACGAAGGTCCGTAATCCATATACTCCCTGCTATTCAATATGGAAGTACTTGTAATACTAATATGCTATATGTGTATAGATATGTTTTTGAGACACGTTTTGATTGTTATGTTGGGAGAATGGTAATATTACAGCAGGGCCCTGTGATAGGAAAGATGTTTTTACAAATGGAATTATTACAATTGACTTCTTTTTAACTAATATATATTTATATGTTATTTAAGCTGCACAACCATCCTATAGAGTCCAGAGACATATACATAGTGGGAACCGAAATGGAAGTTTTGTATTTTACAAATAAACCCATAATCAATGTAAAGGTTTGGCAACTGAACTTTTTAACCCAAAGACTGTAGGTAGGGCAAGGGGAAATCTGTTGCCTATAGAGGAAAAACCTGGGGTTCATTGGCGCATCATTTCAATTGGAACCCTAAATCTTGTTCTGTGTTCAACACACAAACCTACAGTATAACCTACCTACTGTATAACAGAAGCAGGCAGGGAGCCAGTTTTTCTTTTAAAGCCCTGCCCCCGACCTATGAACCTTTGGTACTTCTTGTGTGGTTTTTGGGGCCCAGAAGTCAGTGTTTACCTTGCCTAGGGTCTTACTCAGGGACAGTAAAGGAAAATATTTCATAAACTGGTTTCCACTAGCTAAATTATTTGGTATATTTCTTTCACTTTTTTTCAAACTTTTTTTTCTGCTTTGAATTTTTACCCTTTTTTATATTTTTTTCTTTTGACCTTGACCTTGCCGAGAGGAATATCAAATGTGGTGCCAGTATTAAGTAATTTAAGGGACAATAGGGGTTGCTAACTGTAATGAAAGTGATCTCTGACAGTCTCCTGCAGCATGTCCTCAGTCTCCAACTACACCTGAAGCATATCAGCAGTTGTTGACCTTCTCTTGTAGTATGCTTGATGTCTTATCATCTACTATAGTACCGGTATGTCTAGTTTCTAAACATTTTCTGCAGCATTACACACACTGAACATTATGTGAGTCCCTTTGATGATGTCAAGAGCTGAACTAGAGGCCTGCTATTTTAGTGACTATGGACTATTCTATGGATGGCCCTACAACATAGCCAAAATGTGAAATTTCTTTTTTTTTATACAGAAGTGCAAATGAAACCCACAAGTTCATAGATTGAAACACCTATTGACTGTAATAGCTGAGGAAAGCCTCTCTCAACCACATTAGCCTGGAGGAACCTTTCAGGACTCAGAGACCCTTGAAATAATTTACAGATATACAGCTCCAGGTATATTAGTGTAATCATTAAGTTGTAGATACAATAGTAAATAAGAGAATA